AGAGATATATGAGGCGTAACTTTGTCGGTTGGCTACATTCTGGAGCAAAGCATCGCCAACCACATCAGATGTGGGTTTGAACCGTTTGAATTGGGGAGGGGTTGCAGATTTGGAGGTTAAGTAGGGTTAGAAGAAAGATTCGATATTAGAGTATTTTAGTGGGAATATTAGTGTATAATTGAATATATAAAAAATCTTTTTTTTTCACAGAAGTTCGTGGAGCATTTACGGATTACGGAAGATGTAACTCTTGTTAATAATGTTGCATAAATAGTTTTCATTTATATTTAATGTAACACTTCAAAATTAAACGTTACATAATACTTAAAAACATGCAACATTTTATAGTAAGCGTTGCATATTGTATAATTCATAACTTTATGCAACATTAATAAAAAAGTGTTGCGAAATTATAATTTTAAATGTAATATGTAACAACAAAAAAAGTGTTACAAATAAAGTGTTACAAAAACTCAATTTTGTTGTAGTGGCGGTGTGACGATCATTAAATTCACGGAAAGCAAGAACACGTTTATGCATATGCCAATCATTATCAATATAATGTACAGTCAGATCCAAATAATGTAAATTATGATAAGTATCCTCCCATATGTCAGAACATACAGTAACACACCCTTCAAAGTTTGCAAAATAAGTTTGTAACCTTACCTTTTCCGCACCATAAAGCCTTGAAATTTCTTTCTTAACCGTTTTGCGACTATAACCTCTATATTGCGGATTTAAACAAGTTTGTGCATAATCACGAAAAGCAAGACTTTCAGAAAACAAATAAGACAAAGTTTCTTCAACAAGTAAGTTAGCCATACCAGTCAAATTTTGTGCATCATTGTATGAGAAATTACCAAAAGCTTGTTGGTTATTTGCAAACCTCGATATTTGAGTTTGCTTCCCCATTCCGCCGCCTAATTTTGCATACTCCACCGGGTGTTTGGACTTAAGATGTCTTGTGGCGGATCTGTATCCGCCGGAAATCCCCAAGTTATAGTTTTTCTTGCACCAATTGCAAGTTGCGGTCCAATTCCCGGTGTTCGAGTCCTTCCACTTAGAAAAATTATTAGCCATAAGTTCAGATTTACTTTTTTTCGTACCGGTTTGGGATGAGGCAGGCTCGTCGGCGTCGTGGCTGCCGCCACCCTCCTCCTCGTCGTCGTCGTGGCTCTCCGGAATTACTTCCTCCACATCGTCGTCCTCGAGCTCTTCTTCGTCAATGGTCCTCGGTTGGTCTTGAAAAAAGCGGCTATTATGTGATTATGTCGGTGCAATTCTTGTTCTAGTTGTTCGTCGGTCATCACATCCCCATCCCTCGTTGCGGAACCCGTATCGAAATCATCTCGACTTTGAGATGAAGAGCCGATATGCGATTTACCTTTGCGGGATATCTTCCTCGCAAGCTTTTTTGTTCGGTTGCGCTCGAGGTTACCCATATCAACCGAATATCTAGGACGATCCATCTAAAAAATGTAACAAATATTAAATTGCAACAAATATATTAATAATACTATAAGAGTAATTAAAACTATTTTAAATAATACTTCAATCTAAAAAGTTTACTTTAATCAAATAAAATTCTAACTATTAATTCGAGTTATAGCAAAATAATTTAATTCGAGTGAAATGTGAAGTAAAAAAATATGAATTGAATCAAAATTTATAGCAATACTATTGTTTAATAAGTAGTCAAATTAACTAGTGAATTAACTAGTTTTGCGTACTACCTATTTTTTTTACTAACAATCAAATTAATATAGTTTAACTTTAACTATAATGAGAATTAACTAGTTTTTTAAACTAGAGTCAAAGGTAGCAATTAATAAGAAATTGTAATAAAGTAATTAACTACTTTAATGAAAAATTATACAATTCATGTGAAAACTAATTAACTAATCAACTAGTTTTTTGTACTACCTATTTTTTTTACTAACAATCAAATTGTTATAGTTTAACTTTAACTATAATGAGAATTAACTAGTTTTTTTTTCAAGTAATGTTAATACAAAATTAAACAAGTGTAAATAATAGAATGAATTCGTACCTCTTTCGGACTTTCGGTCTTTCAGATGGGAGTAATAGAATGACTTCAAATTAATTAGATATAATTCCAACTATATTAATAGATATAATAAATGTAAAAGTAATATATAATTAGATAAGAAATATAAGTATAATGTATGTATTTATAAATTATAAGTAGATAATTAATATAAAGTAGATATATAAATATAATATATTGGAGAATAAGAGAATTTGAGAAGATGAAGATAATTAGAGAGTAGAGAGTTAAGAGTAGGATTTAGGAAGAGTTGGAGAAGAGATATGGAAAAATGTTTAAGATTAGGAGTATTTATAGGGTTTTTTACCCCCACCCCACCCCCTCCCAACCCACCCCCCAAACCGCTTGGACCTCCCTGCAGCCAACCCAACGGCTATATAGCCGTTTGGGTTGTCCCCAGCCCACCCCAACGGTTATGTTTTGGCCCAAAAAAATAAAAAAACTAGCCGTTGTGACCCGGACCCGGGCCCGACCCGGCCGGGCTGGGTCACATTTTGCAGGAACCGAGCCCGCCCCCGCTTCCCCCACCGGTTCGGGTCCACACCCGGTCCCGGACCGCCAGACCGGGCCGGTCCCGGGCCCGCACAGTACCGGGTCGGGCCGGGTCACGGGCCGGGTGGCCCGAACCGAATCCATCCCTACCGTTTGGTAATAGCCAAATCGGTTGTATTGGCTGATTCTACTGAAATTTATGAAGTTCTGGCTGATGTGGTTGTTTTGGCTGATTCTGTTGATTTGTGAAAAATAATAATTTAAAATACATTTTATTAATAAAAAAAGAAAAAATAATATGAAAAAATAGCTCAAATGCCCCTCTACAATAACTTCATCCAGTAAAGCCAGAAAAGTAACTACAACCTTACTTTTTCTTATTATTACATAATTCAGTCCGTAAAACCAAAAGTTATTTGTTTGGTAAAAAAGTTGGCTTATAAGCTAGAAAAGCCAAACGAGCACTAAAAGTTAAATGCCTTTTTATGATTTTGCAAACATAGTCGAAGGGATGTTTGGGAGTTAGGTTTTGGGGGGAAAGAGAAGGTTGAAAAGGGTTTATAACTTTATCTTACTTGCATGTTTAGGAGTTAAAAAAATGATGGGGAGGTCTTTGAAGGGCTACTGCAACCCTCCAAAACTCTCCAAGTGATCAATTTTTAAGTTTTCTCAATTTGGGGGTTTTTGAAAAATAACAAATTAAATGATAATTTTAGTTCAATTTAAAATGAATACAAGTTCAATTATTTTAATTTGATACTCCCTCTGTCCCGAAAAGGTTGGCCAAAGTTGACTTTCACGTGGATTAATAAAGTAAAAACTGTGTGGTTGAAATTTGTGCAGAGGAGAGAGAATTAATTTTAGCCACATATTCCTTACTTTAAATGGAAATGACAAATCTTTTTGGGACATCCAAAAAGGAAATTTTGCCAACCTTTTCGTGACGGAGGGAGTATATATCATAAACGATTTTAATTATAATTACTCTAATTCATCTCTTTTCAAATTTACAATTCTCAAACAAAAAGAATTTTCCTTCCGTCTTATTGGACTTTGTCAATCTTTCCTTTTTTGTTGTCTCAAAAAACTTTGTCAATTTCCCATTAAAATAATTATTTTGTTGTTCTGTTCATTTCTCTTCTTAGCACAAATTTCAAACACATATTTTTTTCTATTTTTATTCCTCACCTAATTTAAAGGGATCTGGCGTCTCTACCTTGGTTAAGCAGAGAAGGAGGGTGTCTACCTTAGAGGTTGTCCTCCTCTAAGGTCTATGATCTTCTACGTACTCATGGTACTATTAGGACTTGGATGACTTTCATTTGAAAGGTTTACATCCCCCCAAAGTTCTCGTTTATTACTTGGTTTGCGTTCCGCAATAGACTCACTATGGGGATAACATTACGCATCTTAACCTTGTGAATATTTTCGACTTGTGCAAGGGTGAGCCAAAAACAGCATCACACCTATTTTTTCTTTGCCCATTTTCTTGTAGGGTATGGACGGCCATTTAGAATTGGATGAGAATGGAAAGGCATATGACAACCCTATGCAGCGTAGTCAATTGGATCAAGAAGTCATGCAAGGGAGCTCTTGTTCGGTCCAATGTCATCCAGATCAGTTTCTGTTGTACGGTCTACATGATTTGGCGTACTACGAATGCAGCTAGATTTGATGCAACTCACATGAAAGAAGATGACGTCATTGTAAAGATAAAGCATATGGTGTACAAGATTTTGTACAACCTTTATCCGAGCAATATGACTACCTTTTGATTTGGGTCTTGCCCTTTGTTTTTGTATTTGCGACGAGCTAGTCTTGTTTGAAATTATATGTGTGCGTTTCTTGCATCACTTCTTTTTTATGGGCTTGATCTGTGTGCGTACTTTTGGCAGCACCAATGATGGGTTTTTGTTTTTTAGGCTCCGCTCGTATTGTTTTGGACCTTAACTTTGACTACCTTTCACCCCATCTACATGAGGGTGTGAGAGGCTTTAGATTTTGAACACATGTACTGATTATTTTTCAGTACATAATTAGTACTGGATGTGTTTGATATATATTTAAAAAATGTCAAAGACTAAGGGTCTCATTTTTTGCACCAACCTCGATCCTTGATTTTCAATTTGTGTCATCCATTTTCAATAAGAGTAAATTCCCTAAATAGGAGTAAAAAAGTTTTGAAATTCCGATATAGGAGTATCATGTTTTTTATTCCTTGAATAGAAGTAATCTGGCAAGTTTAGAAAAAAATGCCATGTTTAATAGCCTAGTAATGCCAAACTTGACAGAAATTTACTCCTATTTAGAGAATAAAAATATGATACTCCTATTTTGGAATTTCAGAACGTTTTTGCTCCTATTTAGTGCAATTTCTATTTTCAATTTCCTGTCACTTTCTTCTCCCCTCCTCCTTTACCCTTCCAAAATAATCCACCATCACATCCTATTTCATTTATCCTTCCGAGTTTCTAGAACTCCCCATCGTTTTTAATGGCGGATAGTTCAAATTCATATTCCAATGCAAATACTTCAAACAGAGTATCAAGCATTTCAACCAACAAGTCCAAGCGTGAAGGCAGTTTCGATCACACCGATGAGAATACAAAGAAGATAAAACCAGAAGCCTCGCGTTTGGTTGAATTTGAAATTGAAGCTAATAGCAAAAGCCGTTTCGAGATAGAAGCTGATGCGGCAGAGGATAAAGGATCAAGGAACACCATGGAAGATGCTTGGGTTGTTCTTCCTGACGCCAGCAATGGTACTCCGGGAAAATTGAGGTTTCTAGTATTTTGAGCGAGTATGGTTGACATACAAAGTTTGACTCTCATATTCGTGCAACTAAAAAACACTTCACGTTTATTATCTTTGGAATTTAGAAATTCAGTACTAGGGTGGGACTGTGGGAGGTAAGATCTGGATTCCTGGAACGTGAGTTTATATTTCTGGAAAGCTTTTGTTAGAGTCTAAGGAAGTCAACTGTTTGGTAATAATAATAATAATAGTAGTAGCTATTATGATAAAGTATTCCAGAAGAAAAGGGAATAATAAGTAGCTAGTTGTTTTGTAATTGGGGATCAGGTGGACTTCTATAAATAGATAGCTAAAGGAGGAATAAGGCAGGCTGTTATTTGGTATTGGGCTGGGACTGGAGAGTTGCCATCTCTTTAACTGTGAGGGCACTTTCTCTATCTTTTTTGTTGATCGAATAACCATTCTTGTTCACTGTTCATCTTCGTTCATATTTTCTGCCGCCATTATTACTGATTCCAGATAGATACTTAACATTGGTATCAGAGCATCGACCTGGTAACCTGTACATGGTCGTTACGAGAGGATCAACAAGAACAACAATGGAAGTTAGACTGGAAAACTTGGAACGCGAGTTGGAACGTAGTCGTCTGGACATGTTGCGAGAGTTGGAGAAGACTCGCATGGAGGTGATGCACGACCGCGATCGCGACCGCGAAGACATGCGCGAAGAGGCTCAGCGAACTCGCGATGAGTTGCGCGACTTAATAATGCAGCGAGGCGAGTCGCGCGGAAGATCCAAAACAACGAAGCGAAGTAAGCGACATGATAGCAATGAATCGTCTTCGTCTTCGTCAGGTAAGCATCAATCTTCTTCGCAAAGTGATGATTACAGTAAATTGATGGAAAAGTTTGGAAGGAAAGTAGATTTACCACTCTTTAACGGACATGATGCTTATGGATGGATAGTTAAGGCTGAGTGTTTCCTTAAAATGAACCATATAGAGGAAGATGATAAAGTAGAATTAATTACTTTAGCAATGGAAGGAAAGGCTCTTAACTGGTTTCAGTGGTGGGAAGAACACACTGAGGTGAGGACCTGGGAATCATTCAAGTCTGCCTTGACTCGTAGATTTCAACCAGGATTGATAAATGATCCTTATGGCCCCTTATTGAGTGTAATTCAAACTGGCAGTGTAATGGAGTATAGGGAACAATTTGAGTTGATGGTGGCACCTTTGAAACAGACTGATCTGAAAATCCTTAAAGGAATCTTCATGAAGGGTTTAAAAGACGAAATAAAAGCAGAATTAAAATTGTATCCAGTCAGAACTCTTGCGGAGTTGATGGATAGGGCCTTGCTAGTGAAACAAAGGAATGAAATCTGCCAGGAACAAGGAAGATGATAGAAGAGGAATGAAAGATAAGGGGTATACTTCAGTACAGAATCACAAATGGATGGATGAAAACAAAGGGAGGAGCAGTCTGAACTACCAGTCCAGTCAAGGGAAACCTGCCATGGAAAAGAAAATGATGGAGACAGGAAATAAGGAGTCTGGAATAATGGGTACACACAGATTATCTCAATCTGAGTTACAGGAGTTGAGCAGAAAAGGTCTCTGTTTCAAGTGTGGGGAAAAATGGGGAAAAGATCATATTTGTAAGATAAAACACTTCCAGCTCGTCATGTTAGATGAATCTGAAGAGGAGGGGGAATTTGAAAGTAATACTATAAATAATGGAAGAAACATACCTCTCTTGAGCAAGGAAGGAATCACAACTCCTAAGACTTTTACAATGAAGAGAAAGTTAAGGAGCAGCAAGGGGGATAGAAATATAATCATTCTGATTGACTGTGGGGCCATCCACAATTTTATATCTCATAAAGTAGTTCAAGCAGCAGGCCTACCTATATTACAGATTCCAAAATTCAAGGTGAAGATAGGAAATGGAGACATAATCAGAAACAATGGGAGATGTGAAGCTGTTTTTCTTAACATACAACAAACTACTATCGTTCAAGACTTTTATGTCTTAGAATTGGGGGAAAATGAGATAGTTTTGGGACTGGATTGGTTAGCAGGCTTGGGAAATGTTGAATTTAATTTCAATCAGCTGACTATCAAATGGAAGGAAAAGGGTAAAGCAATGAAGCTTCAGGGAGATACCAACTTCAGCAGGAATCAAGTTTCTTTCAAATCCATCATCAAGAATAAGCAAGAGCATGGAGAGGGGTATTGTTCGTTCAGCACTGCAATAACTGAAAACAAACTGGAAGTATGACTGGAAATTGGAAGAAAAAGGTGGGTTACACTACTAAAGGTGAAGCATTCGAACTCTCAAAGTGGTTTGTGGATTCGAGGGTTGAGCCGATCCCAGCCGTTGAATTGATTAGCAAGTTATATGCAAAAGAGAACTATGGTGAGCAGGATTTGAACCAACAGTTTCAGAGATGGAAGGATGTTAATCTGGAGTGGTATAATGGTGGAAACAAGGGGTATGGGCTGCAAAATCTTGAAGGAGTATCTGAAAGGTGTTTTATCATTGAATGTATTGGAAGGGAGGTGCTGGATGTGCATGCTTATGAGGCACACCCAAAAGAAAATGCAGAGAAGGATCACAAGCAATTTTACTATATCAATCTGGAGGACTCTAAGGCTGCTGAAGTGAATGGAAGGTCAATAGAGACACCTTCTGCTGCAATAACAACGGTGATTTTGGAAGTTCATGCGCTGAAAATAACAATAAAGAAAGCAGTGGGGTATTGGGAAGGAAGAGGTGCAAAAATGAAGAAGAAACTGTTTGTCAGGAGTGTCTCATATGACCCACCTTGAGGACAAGGTGGTTGTTCCAGGGGGGAGTGATGTTCGAGTCTCAGGAAGGCAACTGTTTGATAATAATAATAATAATAGTAGTAGTAGCTATTATGATAAAGTATTCCAGAAGAAAAGGGAATGATAAGTAGCTAGCTGCTTTGTAATTGGGGATCGGGTGGACTTCTATAAATAGATAGCTAAAGGAGGAATAAGGCAGGCTGTTATTTGGTATTGGGCTGGGACTGGAGAGTTGACATCTCTTTAACTGTCAGGGCACTTTCTCTATCTTTTCTGTTGATCGAATAACCATTCTTGTTCACTGTTCATCTTCGTTCATATTTTCTGCCGCCATTATTACTGATTCCAGATAGATACTTAACAGCTTTCAGCTCTTATCATGTTTTTAAACAATTTTCTTATATAAAATCTGTGCATTTTATCCATTTCATGAAAATGAACAAATTTTAGAACATAGGTTCACTTTGGAGAACCGTCAGATCAGAGGTTTTTGGTTTAAAGTAAGTTTTGAGTATCTAGCCTAATACTCCCTCTGTCCCGGATAGAGCTTGAAGTTTGCTCTTGTCACGGTATTTTAGGACCTCAATTAATAAAAGAACAAATGTCTTGCATGTCTTTTGACTTTTGGGGGAAATTAATGTTATCCACTCAAATGTAAAAAGTGATGGATAGTGAAGGGTAGTTAGGACATTTAATGTAAAAGGAGTTGCCTAAAAAGGAAACGTAAAGGAGTAAATGAGACGTTCCAAAACGGAAAGTGTAAAGATTTAAATGGGACGGGGGAGTATTACTCAAACGATCTTTTTCTATCCACTAGTTCAGCTAGGTTAACTTAATAATTATTCAAACTATATTCTTTTATGTGCACCTAAGTTCAGTAAGGTTTACTTAAGTTTACTATATCCATGTACAAATTGTATTCTAGGGGGTGGAGAGCAATATCTGAACTCCTTGAAAGTGATTTTGTTTTCTTTTGATAATCTGATGTGCTTTCAAGAGTCAGTATAGTTTTTTACATAGTTGTCCAGAGGCATATCCAGAAAATTTTGTGAGTGGGGGCGAACTTACCCTAGAACTCAGCCACTTATTTCACAAATAGCAAATCACATTATTAATATTGTTTGATTAGACTTAGTGTAAGATATATATGTACAAGTATATATAATCTTAAATAGAAGTTAAGCATAACAAAATTTAGTAATTTTTTATCCATTTATTCTTTTAATAGGATCACATAAATTATATATGTAGAGAAGAAAACACTCCTAATCCTATTTTAGAATTTTTCATATGTTGAACTCTTATTTTGAACGATTTCCTATAAAATTTTAGATATATCTATGTAAGGGCTAGGTTGGGGTTGAGGGGGGGAGCTGCCCCCATACTGCCATTGGTTTTCCTAGCATATGGCGACAATCGTGGCGCCAAGGCATTTTTCCATGGCAATGGCGCAATTATGACGCGCCCTCACAACAATAATAACAGAACCCCCGTGGCGCAAAGGCTTCCACCTACGGTGGGGTAAGGGGTGTCAGATGTACACAGCATTGCCCCTGTACTAAAACACAGAGACCATGTTTCCGGATGACCAATGATAAAAATCACGTCGAAAATTGCATAGATTGTCTGCCACTACATAACAAATAATCGCAAACAGTTTAGTGAGCCATTTTGTTTTATTCCTATCATATTCTTAAGCCTAAAAATGGTGAGTCTTTGATAGTTTATGGGCTATGGCGCACCATTTAATTTCATTTACCCCAGTGCCGCAAAGGCTCCCACCTACGGTGGGGTAAGGGGGGTTAGATGCACGCAGTCTTACCCCTGTACTAAAGCACAGAGAGACTGTTTCCGTGTTAGGATAATGGGCTTACGAGAATAATAATAATTAAGTGTGATAGTGTAATAGAGGGTCCTGGGCCTGGTAGTAGTTGGCCTTGACTGGCCCATTAGAAATAGAATAATTAAGGGTGAGTGGTGAGTAGATGGGGAGGCAGAACTTGGGATCAGGACTGGGATATTGGGAGTGAGAGACCACTCGAAGAGTCTCAAACCTTTTCTTTCATGACTTTCTGTATTCCTTCACTAAATGTTCATTAATAAACTACTACTTTCTTCTTGGATTCTCTATTACACTATCACACTTAATTATTATTATTCTCGTAAGCCCATTATCCTAACATTCCGGATGACCCATAGTGAAAATCCTGTCCAAAATTGCACGGACTGACTGCTGCTTCATAACAAAGAAGCGCAGACAGTTTAGTGAGCCATTTTGCTTTATTTCATCATAATCTCAAGCCAAAAAATAATGAATCTTTGGCTCCATTGCAAATGATGGAAATGGGCTATGGCGCACCATATGACATAAAAAATAAATGCTAATTATATGAACCATAGATAGTATAATCTATTATTCAACCACCAAAAGATGAGTAAAAAAGTTGAATAGCCACATTAGGAAAAACATGTGAAGTGAAAATAGGTTAAATAGTTTAAAATATTTGAATACACACATCTTTTGAATACTCTTTTGCGCAGCTTTACTTTGGCTTTCCGTTAGTTGCACAACTTATTATGGGTTTTATTAGTATTATGGGCTGATTGCTTAATAATTAGATAATTAGTAATCAAAACCATATGAACGGGCTGTCTGGTTAATTACTGATCAGGTCCAAAGCCCAAAAGTAACTACAAAAATGTTAAAATCTGTTTTAAAAAATGGCGCACATGGCATGGTGATGGCTATGGTGCCAATTTGGTGTCACCACACGTTTAGTGCAAACCATTAAACAATGTATGCTTTTTAATGTGAATATTGCATGTTTTAATGAAACTGTTTTTGTGTTTCTCCACTGTAGTTTGGAGAGGAGTATAGGATAAAATATGTAAGGCGCCTTTCTGATATGGGCAGAAGAAGTCTTTTATTTTTACTACAGTTACTGTTTATTATTATAATGATGACTTCCTCCATCTACAATATCATATGATGATGATTTATGCAGTACTGGGTTTCTAAACCTTCAGAATTGTTTTGTATGTATTTCTTGGGTATGAAGTTGTAATTTTGAAATGCAAATACAATACCCATAGTTGATATCCATTAGTGAAATAGTGCCCTCTTGAATTCTGAGTTCTTTTCCCTCTTGTATTGGTTATTTTCCCAATAGATGTGCTCATTTTGCAATATATGATGGCCATGGAGGTCGATTAGCTGCTGATTATGCGCGGAAGCACTTGCATGGCAATGTTCTTTTAGCTGGCTTACCACGTGAGTTGGTGTGTTTGCTATGTCTTGTTTTGGTTTAGTTAAGAATCAGTGATGATTTCCATTCTGTGTGTGTGCAACACTTATACTTTTTTGTGGAATATGCAGCTAGATGTTAAAGCTGCAAAAAGAGCAATACTTGAGGGTATGCTTCAAAATTTTTCATGCCTAAGAAAGACTTATAGTGATCAGTATTCCTTATAGTTTTGTGGTTTTCATCTTATTCTTGAACATTTTAGGGTTTAGAAGTACAGATGAAACTCTTCTCAATGAAAGTATAGCAGGTATACATTCTTACTCTAGAGCATTTTATTCTTCGCATTCTTGGAAATTTTGACTTCGGGTAGATTTATTTGTACGACATTATCAAGGAGAATAAATTTAATTGTTTGCTTGTTCTTGTACATTCTTGTTAGGGGGGTGGCAAGATGGTGCTACGGCTGTTTGTATTTGGGTATTAGGACAAATGGTAAGCTCAGAGTTGTTCTCCTTTTCAATAGTGTATTAGCTATGCATGCTTCTGCATGCCTTTCTCTGAACACTTTATATATTGGAATAGACTATGAACTCACTTTCTAAGTATAGTATTTTGCAACAATGCACACATCTAATGTTTGAGTGTGAAAAATATGTTATGCTCTATACACGTAATAATCTGCAAGTTTTTACGGGCATGATGGTTGCACATTTTCAATAATTAGTGTTTCACCATTGATTTGTAATTGAATAAGTTGTAAAGAAAGTGGTTGCAGAATTTGTTTTACTAAAATTGCTTACTTATGGTCACTGTTCATTTTTGTAGCAAGTAGCAACATGTCGTTAGTTATTTGAGAAACCCACCATGTCTATGTAGGTTTTTGTTGCTAATATTGGGGATGCAAAGGCAGTTTTAGCTAGGTCAATACAATCTGACGTTCCAAATGATGGCTCAGATGGTTCAACTCTATTAAAGGCCATTGTTTTGACAAGGGAACATAAAGCCATTTATCCTCAAGAACGTGCTCGCATTCAGAAAGTGAGCATTCTGAATATGCCTTTGTTCTAATGTCTTTAAATATCCTCTTTTCCTTTTGAAGCATTCCTAATATGCTAATGTCTTTCAATATCTCTTTTTGATTTTGTTGTTTTTGTTGTGTTACCTATTAAAGTATTAATCTATTATATGCAAATCGGAAAATGGGTAATGATTCCCATGAACATACCGTTGCCCAGATAATCAACGATAAAAATACCGTTGCCCAGAGTCAAAAGGCTAAAACCAATTTTATTCCAAGATGAGGCAGAATGAATACTAACAAGGGGTTTAAATACCCATCTACTAATTCCCAAACTATGAAACAAAATCTTAGAAATCCTAATCAACTCCAACTAGGAAATAGAATAAAAAAAGATCCTAATCAACTTCAAATAGGAAACAAATAATAGAAATCTTAATTAACTCCTAATAGGAAACAAATATTAGAAATCCTAATTAACTCCAAATAGGAAACAAATCAGGAAAATTAAAAAGAATAAATATTAATTAAGCAGCCCGCAACCAGCCCACGAAGGTGGGCTCAAGCCCGTTCCCGCCTTCAGTAAACCCACGGGGGCTTCTGCCCGTCTTCTTCCAAGCCCAGATTCCGCTTCATATCAATTCCACCCCCTTCGAAAAAACCTTGTCCTCAAGGTTGAAATTTGGAAATCGGCTCACATTTGTCCCCGGAGGCTGCCCAGTATCTTTAGGAAAAATTGAGATGTCCCCAGTCACTGTCTGCTTGCCTTCGGGCAGCCATTTGAAGCAATTGCCCTTAAACCGTGAGTCAAAACGATCCACCAATGCCTGTGTAAGCTCATCCCATGACATGACCGGCTTTCGTGCCCGTAACCAGGTCAACCAATATAAGACTGGCCCTTCCATCGCAACTACAACTGCTGCCACCTTCTTTCCCGGCGGAGTACAGTTCAATTCGAACTGTTGTTCAGCCCTATCAACCCAGCTGATCAGTTCTTCTTCGTTAAACGAGGGCAACATCGTGTGAAAGGTGCTGCACAGTCCAATTTCGAACGAGGATGCTGCTGCCGCGTCAAGTGAAGCCACCGCCGTTGAATGCTCCTCCACCGCTGGCGGCGCGAGAGCCTCTGTCAACACAGCCAAGGAAAAAGTGACGCTGCACGGCTGTCTGTCGCTGCTGTGCGCAGATACGGTGGGGCTGCCAACCGCGTCCAGGTTTGTTTCCGTCGTGACCGGAGGAATTAGCGCCTTGGTAAGAGATGCCAGAGATGCGGCAATCTCTGCCAGACGCATGTTGTGCTCCTCTAGGGTTTGATTCATCCGAGTTTGCTTGGCAACCATCTCTGTCCTGGCGGTCGATCTGAGATCTCATCATCCCGGCGGGACCAATTGTTGTGTATCAGAAAAATAAAATCAACGGGGTAAATCGTTGCCCAGATAATCAACGATAAAAATACCGTTGCCCAGAGCCAAAAGGCTAAAACCAATTTTATTCCAAGATGAGGCAGAATGAATCCTAACAAGGGGTTTAAATACCCATATACTAATTCCCAAACTAGGAAACAAAATCCTAGAAATCCTAATCAACTCCAACTAGGAAATAGAATAAAAAAAGATCCTAATCAACTTCAAATAGGAAACAAATAATAGAAATCTTAATTAACTCCTAATAGGAAACAAATATTAGAAATCCTAATTAACTCCAAATAGGAAACAAATCAGGAAAATTAAAAAGAATAAATATTAATTAAGCAGCCCGCAACCAGCCCATGAAGGTGGGCTCAAGCCTGTTCCCGCCTTCAGTAAACCCACGGGGGCTTCTGCCCCTCTTCTTCCAAGCCCAGATTCTGCTTCATATCACATACCGCCCTTTTCTTCCATCTTCATGCTGAAAAAAGCAATGCACTGGTGTGGGGGAGGGAGATGGGCCCATGAGGGCAGTAGAAGAATTGTTTCTCAAAGTTCAGGAAAACGTCTCCAAAGAAGAGAAAGATGACATCAACCAAACAAAGGATTTTCTTTCCTCTTGGGAATAAACAAGGAAAAGAATAATTGTTTCTATTTTGAAGTCAGTATTATACTGTATTAACTATCATGTGAGTGACACTTTCAGTACTCGACTTTGAATTTTCCACTTTTATCCCTTCAACTTTTGTAGCAGAGACAATTTTGGTACCGTCTTTGAAAATTTCCATTTTTAGTCAAAATTTTATAATTTTATAATAGTGACACTCTTACTCCTTCCACGATACCTTTTTTTATAAAGTAGATAATAGTTGAAGAACCAAAATTGTGATTTTTACAATAGTTAAGACTACATGTGGAAAAAATCAAAGTCGATGACCAAAAGTGTCTCTCTCACAATATTCAAAGGACTAAAAGTGGAAAAACTTAAAGTCTAGCACCTTAAGTGTCACTTACACAATACTTGGAGGACTAGAAGTGGCAGAAACACTTCTCTGAATGCACTCAATAAAATAAACATATGATTCTCTATTTGTTTCTGCAATCTTGCACTTCTGCAAAGTGTTTTCTGTTATAAATCTATTCTATAATGAACGTTCATATTAAAGTACATATATGACCTGGTCATCTGCAGAGAATAGCTAAAATGTAGTTTAGGCTTTAGAATTTTTTCCTTTCTACATTTATCCTACATATGAGCATTCTTTCAAAAAAAAACTACATATGAGCATGTGGTCTGAAGGATGACTAATATAAACCTAGAAAAGTAGAATCAGATCAGTTCACAGCACTATTGTGCTTGTATGGGCTGGAGACTAGGTATTCATAGTTCCTATTATTTTCATAATTTCATTTGATGTGGCTTTATATTTGGTTAAGATTTGACTACATAGTCAATTACTCTCAGCATGCTGGCTGTTGCTTTAGGTACTTTTCTATATTCCTGAACTGTTTTGTTAATATATCCAACTCTATCGTACTCTTGTCTGAAATATATAAATCATTTGTAGAGTGTGTAATGGAGAAATGGTTTACTATGATAGGACTGTGATTTAAATGATTTATCAACTTATTTAATACACGTCTCTTGATATTTTCTTTATGCAAGTGGAAGTGGCCTATAATGAGATGGTTTCAAGCTCAATGTCATTATTCCTTCAGAAGAAGGTTGTGGCTAGAACAACTTATGGTGTAAAACATTCACACTGTTTTTATGCTATGAATTTAGTGTTAAATATATTAGTTGGCACTGTAAACATTTGGTCACCGTCTCACTGATCTCAACTAGTTGGGAGTAAGAGATGGATGAATAGGAATAATTAAGAAGTTAGTGGGGCCATGGGGGTATAACTTAGGGAAATGGACATTATTTTGGGAAGAACCAAAAAGGAAAGTCGGAAAAAATAAATCAGAATGTGTGGGAGTAATCATCACACAATGCAATTCTTTAGGCGGGTGGATCTGTGAGTTCAAATGGAAGATTACAAGGCCGGCTTGAAGTTTCTAGGGCATTTGGAGACCGTCAGTTTAAAAAGGTTTACTTGTCTTATACCCTTTAACATTCTTTGCATAAATTACTTCTCCAACTTAAACATTCAATACTTTTCTTACTCAAATGAAAAAGAACTGCATTTTCCTTCTCAGGAAGAAAAAAATCTTATTTACTTTCAGTGTCGATCTCAAACTCTCTACATTCCAGGTCGGTGTTGTTGCAACCCCAGATATCCACTCATTTGACCTTTCTGAAAGAGATCATTTCATGATTATGGGCTGTGATGGCTTTTGGGGGGTATGTTTTGTTTGTTGTATCTCATAGAGTTTTGTTATAAGCCGCAAGAACACCTAGAAATTCTCTGAATCATTTTTACACTAACTGATTCGCCTTGGAAACTTCTTAGGTGTTTGTGCCCAGTGATGCTGTTCGATTTGTTCAAAACTTACTGAAGGTTTGCAGGCCTTTTGCACTTATTTTTAAAGTTAAATAGATATATGCACACACTTGTCTAAGATGTAATGAGAATTTGTTTTCTGTATGTATCCTAACTTTGGCAGTTGTTTGACAGGAGGGATTGCCTGCTTCACAGGTGAGCCGCCGCCTTGTGCGAGAGGCAGTCCGTGAGCGCCACTGCAAAGATAACTGTACTGCAGTATTGATTGTTTTTAAGCATGAGTAGAAACTGCACTGCCTAGACTTGTTGTAAGTTATTATGTGCGAGGGAATAGTAGGAACCTACTAAATGAAAGGTAAGACTCAAAGAAATCTATGGTAAGGTGGATAATAGCCCTTTAAGCCATCTCTTATGTGTGATGTGTCATGATATGTTTCCATGTTCTTACGGATGTAGCAGTAAGACTGTCGTGGGTGATCTTTGAATAGTAAAAAGATGTTCATTCTGATTAGGCATGGACTCGGGCCGGATCAGGCCCGGTCAGGCCGCCGGTTTGTAACGGGTCCGGTTCGGGCTGGGCCACCTGACGAGCACTTTGTCACGGTGCGTCAAAATAAATTCAATACTAAACACTTATACGTAGTATAGCGTAGTAGAGTTCGTACCACAAGGAAAGGAATAATTCTCTTTTTATGATACTTAGTAAATAAAAGGGGGGATTTGGATTCAGTGATTTAATTTAATTATGAACTAAGATGAACAACCTATATGAGATTTAATTCAAAGATAAAAAGGACTTGGCATTGCTACTTTCCACTTGTTGATATATTTTAGTCGATCATTGTTATATCTATAACTTATTCCCTCTCGAATACTCAATCGGGGAGTATATCCACTTCATCGAGGGTAGTTATTAACAACAACCGTTCATTAATAACCCTTACTATTAATCAAATATAGAACAACGTCTTATACCGATTTAATAGTAGCATTTAATCTTTCTAACTCCTTGATGAAATCAATTGAGATTGATAACCTCAACACAAGCGGTTTCGGTTTAACCAACAAAATTAATCCCTCTTAAGTTTATTAACCACGACCGTGCATTAATAAACCGAAGTTACTTACTTGTGAAACCATCAACGATTAACCATCGGTTCGTTGATCGTTTCTAGTAATAATTAATATATGAAACAAAACTAGTTGATCCTTTAAGTAATAATGTTCAAAATATTAATATGAAATATGAGTAGGGATTAATTAATATTCAAGGAAGAATATTATTAAAGAAGATGAATCCTACTATAATTAATATCAAGATGTTAACTAATTGTCATCTTAGGAACACTCCCCAACATTAATATAGAGGAAGAAAATATCATTCTAATTAATGTCGAGATGTTAACCAATTGTCATCTTAGTAACACTCCCCAACATTAATATAGAGATGGTATTAAGGAAAGAACTATTAATTAATATTCAAGGAAAGAAGTTAAGAAAATAACTCACAACTTTAATAATCAACAAGCTTCAAGAGCAACACCAAGATTGGAAGTTTAGCTCCTCATTTGGAGACTAAACATAGCTAGAAAAATATAAACAAATGCTATTCTAAACTGAGCTAAAGAGTATGGAAGAAGGGATGATTTTTAGAGAAGAAAAAGTGTGCTATTTATAGGTGTTTTTCAACACCTTTGGCCGGGTACCCGACCGGGTCAAGTACTTACCCGACCGGGTCCGGTCAAAATCAGATAATTCGCCACGTTCTGGTGATCTTCGCACGTCGTTTTGTCCCGGGTCACATCTGACCCGACCGGGTCAAGTAGGGGACCCGACCGGGTCCAGTGACTTTCTTGGCAATTTCGTCTGTTAAATCATACCCGACCGGGTGGGGGTTTCTACCCGGTCGGGTTTCACTCCTGGGCAGTCAAATTTCTTGTTTTCTTCTCTTCAAAGTCTTCCTTTCCAACACCACAAATCCTAACTATACTTTACAACTTATAAATGAGAATTAAAATACGATTACAACTAAAATCACACAAATGTTTACAAACTAAATAAAACGGTAAACAATACACATAAATCAATCATAAAAATATACATTTATGCACTACTAATTAGTGCATATCAAATACCCCCACACTTAAACCTTTACTCGTCTCGAGTAAATCAAATCCGGTCCAAAAAGTCCTTAAAGTGACAAGAATATCAACACACACATCCACGAGTGTTTTTAGAAGCACATAAAGAATATCCCCAAAAATATAACAGTAAAGAGGGTCTTCAACTCCATATTTCTTTATCAACCTCAACCTTTTTTTTTGCGTTACCCTTAGGATCCTGCAGAAATAAAAGAAAATACTTTCTCTCGTTCTCTCATTTTGCCTAGGTGCCCTTTCGGGTTTTCATCCCAGCTTCCCACATTTTTCTGTTTTAATCCTCACAACTCACTCTCATTTTTGCTTTATTTTTGCTTACGTTGCCCTTTCAGGTTTTCAACTTAACAAGCTTTTATAATATTTTTTTTTACAAGAATAAAGAGTATGAATGTGAGTATTCCATAAAACTCTCCCCCCAAGCTAATCAAAGCACTGTCCCTAGTGCTTGTGTCTGAGATGATATTTTTTTTTGGTTACTTTTTGAGAGGTTTTGTTGGTGATTCGTGGGTGTGGAGATGAAAAGGGTGAAGAGGTGATGAATGAAATGGGTTTAATTGGTGGATGGATGTAGGAGATATGAAGCTTTTGACTTTTGGAAATGGAGGAAATTTGGGGTGTGGTTCGAAAGGGAAGACAAAGGGGGGTGATTTTTTTTTTTTGAGAAATGGCCAGGTTTCCAAAAAATCGAGATTCCCGGCCGGGTGGGGTAGTGTACCCGGTCGGGCGTAAACTGTTCACCCGAGGCAGAAATCTTTTGCTCGGTTGCCCGGCCGGGTATGGGGGTCTACCCGGTCGGGTGTTTGGTTCATTCTTGTTCCGCTCTTGCCGCGCCCGGGTGGTTGGCCGGGGGTTTTGTTTTTAGAGGTAACCCGACCGGGTGGGGTTTTATACCCGGTCGGGTGTTTGGTTCCAGGTCATTTTTTATATTTTGAAATGTGTAAAAATAAAATAAAACAAGTAAACGTACCTTGCTTGGGTTGCCTCCCAAGAAGCGCCTTAGTTAACGTCGCGGCACGACACCATCATTGTGTTCAGTCGTTCAAACTGGGATCATGATAGTTTACCTTCGCCACATTTTCACTCCTAGGACTTCCATAGGAATGCTTGATTTTCTGACCCTTCACTTTGAAAATCTTTCGAGGATCAAATATCCAGATTTTCATTGATTCATGTGGTGAGAGTGAGGGAAAGAAATTATCATTTAGCATGGTCAATGGAAAGTGTTTTGATCTTGGTGGCATGAGAGGGGGTATCAAATGTTTACTTAACTCCACTGTCATTTCCTGCATATTGGTGAATGAAAAGAAATCCAAATGATATTCTCTCGATTTATTTGCAACCGCGAAAAGTACATTTGAATTATCTTCACGTTTGCTGAGGATTTCATCTTCGTCCTTCTCTACCCTTTCTGTTTCCCTTAGAGCCTCAGGAAATGGTGACATGTTCTCAGGAATGGCCGGTGATGGAGTTGAGTTTTGAAGTTTCTCCTCCTCTGGTTGAGCTCCCTCCGTAAGCTCCTCTTCTTCTTCCTCCTCGCCAATGTGGTTCACAATGTTTGGCACTTGTTTCAATTGATTTTCCAAGTTCAGTTCTTTGAGCATTGTTTCTTGCGGGTATTGCGACATATCTTGTTGCATTTTTGTCACATTGATAGTGAGAGCTCGGATCATGTCTTCAGGTGGACATGCTGGAATAAGAACTTGAGTATGGATTATATGTGTTGGAGAATGAATCATACCTCTCTTGAAAAACAACATCATCACTCTGTTCAAAGTATTCTTGTTGAAGCTTGGGGCAAAAATCCGTAAGATGCCTTTGTGACATGCAAATGTTGCAGGCCTTGGTATCTTGAACGTTTGAGCATAAGAGAAACTCCTTTACTAAAAATGTTAAGCTAGAAATTTGACTCTCTAGCGATGATGTGTTGGTATCCATTTACTCATATAAGCTCAGAAAATAGAAGAGCAAGATTTTTTTTTTATATTATACTTTTTTGTTGTTTTTTATTTTTATGAGATAAAATAAAAAGAAAAGTAATTGCCTTTCCCCGGCAACGGCGCCAAATTTGACGAGCACTTTGTCACGGTGCGTCAAAATAAATTCAATACTAAACACTTATACGTAGTATAGCGTAGTAGAGTTCGTATCCACAGGGAAAGGAATAATTCTCTTTTTATGATACTTAGTAAATAAAAGGGGGGATTTGGATTCAGTGATTTAATTTAATTAAGAACTAAGATGAACAACCTATATGAGATGTAATTCAAAGATAAAAAGGACTTGGCATTGCTACTTTCCACTTGTTGATATATTTTAGTCGATCATTGTTATATCTATAACTTATTCCCTCTCGAATACTCAATCGGGGAGTATATCCACTTTATCGAGGGTAGTTATTAACAACAACCGTTCATTAATAACCCTTACTATTAATCAAATATAGAACAACGCCTTATACCGATTTAATAGTAGCATTTAATCTTTCTAACTCCTTGATGAAATCAATTGAGATTGATAACCTCAACACAAGCGGTTTCGGTTTAACCAACAAAATTAATCCCTCTTAAGTTTATTAACCACGACCGTGCATTAATAAACCGAAGTTACTTACTTGTGAAACCATCAACGATTAACCATCGGTTCGTTGATCGTTTCTAGTAATAATTAATATATGAAACAAAACTAGTTGATCCTTTAAGTAATAATGTTCAAAATATTAATATGAAATATGAGTAGGGATTAATTAATATTCAAGGAAGAATATTATTAAAGAAGATGAATCCTACTATAATTAATATCAAGATGTTAACTAATTGTCATCTTAGCAACACTCCCCAATATTAATATAGAGGAAGAAAATATCATTCTAATTAATGTCGAGATGTTAACTAATTGTCATCTTAGCAACACTCCCCAACATTAATATAGAGATGGTATTAAGGAAAGAACTATTAATTAATATTCAAGGAAAGAAGTTAAGAAAATAACTCACAACTTTAATAATCAACAAGCTTCAAGAGCAACACCAAGATTGGAAGTTTAGCTCCTCATTTGGAGACTAAACATAGCTAGAAAAATATAAAGAAATGCTATTCTAAACTGAGCTAAAGAGTATGGAAGAAGGGATGATTTTTAGAGAAGAAAAAGTGTGCTATTTATAGGTGTTTTTCAACACCTTTGGCCGGGTACCCGACCGGGTCAAGTACTTACCCGACCGGGTCCGGTCAAAATCAGATAATTCGCCACGTTCTGGTGATCTTCGCACGTCGTTTTGTCCCGGGTCACATCTGACCCGACCGGGTCAAGTAGGGGACCCGACCGAGTCCAGTGACTTTCTTGGCAATTTCGTCTGTTAAATCATACCCGACCGGGTGGGGGTTTCTACCCGGTCGGGTTTCACTCCTGGGCAGTCAAATTTCTTGTTTTCTTCTCTTCAAAGTCTTACATTCCAACACCACAAATCCTAACTATACTTTACAACTTATAAATGAGAATTAAAATACGATTACAACTAAAATC